CACGTATTGGTCACAGCTATATTTTTATCATTATTGATATTTCCTTTAATTCCTAGAGAAACATAGGGCTTCAGCCAGCGCGCGTCTCCATTGCATTCAGTTCTCTGCTAGAGTTTTTACCTGGCTCCAAGGTCTGTCCACATGCTTTCATCTCCTCTTCACACATGACCTCCTCCATGTCATCCTTGCACTGACGGCCAACTCACCGCTTCTCTTTCGGGTTCCACTCGAGCAATGGTTTGTCTAGTGATGTCAGTTGATGGTTTCCTCAGAGTATGGCCAGCCAATCCATCTCCATTTCTTCCTGCCTATTTGTTGCACTATATATATAATTCCTTTTGTGTCCAGAGTGGAACATAAAGCATCAGACTTGAGTTTTGAAGTTTCATTTTTACGGGGGGTAAAGTTGTTAATTAACTTCATGCCTAACCTCCCCTCTTCACTACTGGCTCAACGAAGTTTAGGAGTATGTCGGTTGAGGAGTCAACTCCAGACAACGTGAGTGGTTGGCAAGGGGTTTTCTGTTTTACTTGGACCGACCTATTGATTGCAGTGATGATATATATGGCACCATAGCCCTAAATAATCCCCCAGTTTTGATAAGCGCCACGTGGACACAATTGAGAACTGAGAGTTCTTGATGCAGTAGGCCATTCATATCAGCATTAAAAAAAAATGTAAATATGATTTAATAAGTGTTTAATTCTGAAGTCCTAAGTCTAGATAATAGTGCTTATGAAGTAATATTTACTGTCATATACTATCAGTATCTCTGAAGCCCCTCGTCCAAGTAGTATGAAGACCTCCGAGAATATTTTCCCAATTAATACTTTGATATTCAAGTGTTAGTTAGTAAGGGATTTAATTGGCTACAATATTTCATCATGGGTTGATGTTGGTTGGAGAACCATTGGAAAACTTGGCAATACCGGACAATTATTTCGCCCTAGTTCGGGATTCTTCTTCAGTACACATCCACCGGGGTATACGAACTGTGAGTCAAATCGTGAATTGGCCCTATTCAGACAGAGTTCTAGTAGGAAGTCGTGACCAGTGGGTTACAGCAGGTCGGCTGTAAGGGCAAGCATTCACCGATGAAACTGGCTATAGTATATCGTGAATCGTCAGTAGTTGGAATTCATGGACTAGACATAGGATCGGCTCCCAGCGACTTGTCTGTCTGTTTTCGACATAGGACTTTGCACCGATGTGCAGCAATTCAAGTCGCCGCCCTCCATGTAGTACACAAAGCAAGAGAAGAAGGTAGAAGAAATGCATAATAGAGAAAGTAAATTGAGGTGTAAGACAAAGGAATAGTAGTAACGAAGAACAAAACAGTTTCATTGGAAATCATAGGTCACAATGAGTGGATGCATGTGCGCCAGTCATTGAGGATGATTTTGAGCCATATCACCAATTGTCTCCAGCCTTCATTGGCTTTTACCATCCCGAGGACCCCAAACAGTCAGGAAGTCCACACCTTCCTACATGGCTAGCTAAACTAACTGTTGTAGATTTCATTGACTGGTGAAACCATTTTTTGGTTTGACCGCTGCTAGCTCTTTTCCAGCCTGACCCTTTGTCAGCTAACATTGCCCGTCACTCGAGGAAGACGATGGCTAGGCATACGTAACACATGTCCTAACCATTTCAGTCGATGTAATTTCACAGCCTCGTCGATTGATTTCGCCTCATTACCTAGCACTGGACGCCTAACCTCAATATTGCTCACTGTATTATACCACTTCACATGGGAGGTAGAGCGCACGCACTTATAATCAAAGACAGCTAATCTTTTCATGTCTTCTACTCTCAATGGCCAGGTCTCACAGCCGTAAAGGAGGACGGAGCGGACTTCTGAGCAGTACATCCGCCCTTTGGTCGATAGCCAATCAACCGGATATCACGTCTACTAAGCCAGATACGGCGTAAACCGGCATATGCGAAACTAGCCCTCTGTATCCGTGCAGAGATTTCGTCAGACTCCCAGTGGCCTAGCGGTCTACGAGCTCGCTTGCCTTATAACTTGAAGGTTCTAGTTTCGGAACCTGACAGTGGATACCTACTGATGAAGAATCGAATCCTAGACCAGGACGAAGTGGTTGTCCAGTATTTTCTACAGGTTTTCCAATGGTTCCCTAACCGAAATGAGCTCACGACGCGAAATCCTGGTGAATATCATTACGCGATGAACAACCACACACTAGCTCTACAATAAGCATCGTTATGACGATATGTTACTACAACACATATCCCGTTATTATATTAGCTTTTCGTTTTTGGGTTTCTGATATCAGACCAATCTGACTTTATATACATATATATACAAAAAATCGTGAGCCAATCAGATTTGTTTCAGAATATATTTTATAACTGACGCCTACGCAATTCATGTCTAGTCGTGTGATATTTTTTGGTTTGATAATTTCAAACCATATATAGCAATGATTGTAAGTTAATATATATATAATAAGAGTAAGACTATACAGAGAATTATCAGTCTGGATATTATAATATGTGCCCAGTGTGTGTATAACACACGTTGGAGGATGACTCATTGTTTTGTAGTAACCTTGGTGTGTTAATAATTATTACTAATAGTGTTGTACTATGACGCTTGCAGTATTGATAGTAAGCTTATATATATGCAGATATATCTTCAAAAATAGTTTGAAAAAATATTTAAGGTGTCTTTCTTTCATCCTTTCATTCTCTCTATGTGTTTTTTTATATCCCACCTCCTCCACACACCACCTAGACTGGAGGAAATAGAAAACAATGAAGAATAATCACGGTGTAGAGAGAGATGCTTAGAAAAAAGAATGTCCTACATTTACAACATTGACATGCACTGAATGTTGTTTTTTTTTCACAGGGCAGATTGGTATCATTGTTATTACTGATATTAATAATAATAAGAGAAATATATTTATCTGTTGTTGATATGATATATATATATATATATATATATATATATATATATTGTATGTGTGTGTGTGTGTGGGAGAGAACAAAGAAAAGGACTGATGTTTAATATATATATATATATATATATATATATATATATATATATATTTAAAAATTGATTGCGCGATGAGTATCGCTGTGTCTATAAGATTGATTGTATTATATGCAGCATATATGCGAACACGATAAGATCAACACACTCAGAGAAAGAGAGAGACAGAAGAAAGGAGATGGTGGTGGGAAGGGGGATAAGAACAAAGGAAGGCTTTATTTTTTCCCCTTGATTATTTGTGTGTGTTAAATGGTTTACCCGTAGGAAAATGCTGAACAATACTGAGAGTAGTAATAGTAGTAATAATGGCTATTACTAATCATACTGTACTTCAATTTCATCAATGAATAATGTGTCTAGAGATTGGTTGACACACATATGCACTCATGTAATGCACACAACAACAAATGACTGAAAGAGATAAGGCACAGCAATTATAATTAATTATTTAAAACTCTTTTATTTACCTGTGATAATAATGATGGTGATAACGATTGCAGTGTGATCTGGTTATCGGTTGGGTGCAATCGATGCAACCATCGACGCGAATTCATTTCGTACTCCAGACTTTTGATATTGAACTTCATCGGTTAAGATCTTATCTTTGATTGCAACTTCAGTAGGTCGATCCTGGGGTCAATCACTATTTTGCAACGGGTTGATATATGTTTTCAGATTTTGTCATGAATTGAAATTGATTAGAAAGTCATTTGATTTTATCTTGGCTGAAATGTTCCTTTTTTGTGTGTGTGTGTGGTGGCGGGGGGCGGTGATACTCTGGATTTTTATGGTTCGTAATAGTTGTGACCGATTACTATTATTTCCTTTAATTCCCAGAGGAACATATAGCTTCAGCCACGCTTCTCCATTGCATTCAGTTCTCTGCTAGAGTTTTCACCTGGCTCCAAGGTCTGTCCACATGCTTTCATCTCCTCTTCACACATGACCTCCTCCAAGTCACTCTCGCACTAACGACCAAATCACCGCTTCCCTTTCGGGTTCCACTCGAGCAATAGCTTGTCTAGTGATGTCAGTTGATGGTTTCCTCAGAGTATGGCCAGCCAATCCATCTCCATTTCTTCCTGTCTATTTGCTGCACAATCGGTTCCTGGTTGGTTTGCTCAGTGCCAGAGATCCCTGTTGCTGATCGTTTCTGACCATCTGATCTTGAGTATTGAGCGAAGGCGGCTGTTGATGAAGACCTGTAGTTTGTTTGAGGTGCTCTTTATGACGTGCTGGCCAAGTGTCTGATCTGTATAGTAGCACTGAATTCACATTGAAGTTGAAAATCTGGATCTTATTTTCACTTTCATTCTGAGTAGTATTGTTGACCCCAACACAGACTTGAGTGTAATGACAACTTGTCTTGCTTTCCCGATCCTTGCTTTGATATCCTCATCAGTTCCGTCCGCCTGTAGTTGAAACGATGCTTCCCAGGTAGGTGGGTAGGTAAAGGAGGTTGTTTCTTTCAGGTTCCTCTGATTTATTCTGATTGTTGTCTGTTGTTGCTGCTGTTGGTGTTGGCCAAGAATCTCCTTCACCCCTATTTTCTCAATGTTCACCTGAAGTTCTATCTTTGGGACTGATAGAAAGTATCATTGAAACTTATGAGCTATATACATATCACACATACTAGCTTAATGTCTAACTTTCGCTCGATGAGTCTGACGTTCGAGTGCCACTCTCATTTTCCTCTCTCTCTCTCTCTCTACCTATTTCAAAATTTACGGATTGGGTAGCATAGTTAGCTCTCTCACAGACACAAGAAGTGTGACTCATACTCCGCCCTCCTCCGATGCATGGGAGATCTTTTGTGGATGATATGACTGCTTTGTTTCTTCCTAACTTTAAGACCATGTAAACAGTTCGACTTAGCGTCGTAGTCAGTTATTGATTTAGTGTTTACTTTGCATCAGTGTTTGTGTCTTTGTTTCTGATCCAATTCTAATTTCTTCTCTTTTTTTCTTTTGTCACCTTTTAGATCTTGTCCTGAGTGATTCAACAATCACATCAGATCCTATGATTGTAGATAAACGTTATCAGGATCGTCGACGACGTAATAATGAAGCAGTACGCCGGTGTCGTGAAAATAAACGTGCACGTATGTCAGGTAGTTTTAGTGGTAGTAATAATAGTGGCAGTGGCATTGTTGTTGGTAGTCGTGGATTCAGTGGCAGCAGTGTTAGCAACAGTCGTACAGAGGTTGTAGCAGAGAAATTACAAAGTGAAAATCGTTGTCTACGCAGTGAATTGACAGGATTAAGTATGGAAGTGAAAGCATTACGTCGGTTACTTTCAGTCGATGAAGAACTATCTCAACACCAACAGCAAGAACAAGAAGAACAGGGAAATACACCTGAAGCCTCCAATGTTAATAATAATATTAATATCAATGACAGCAGCAATAACAACAACAACAATAATATCGACACCAGTACTAACCACAGGAACAGCAGCAGCAGCACTACTGTCGTTAGTAACGGTGTTACTCCAGATTTTTACAGTGATACTGATGACATCCAGGTGACAATGATGATACCGAAAAAGATGAGAGTTAAAGCAATACCTCATAAACTTCATCAACGATTCTCTTTACCATCATCACCGACACCAATATCCACAACAAATTCAATACACCACCATCAATACCAATCCTATCACCATAGCAACAGTAACAACATGAATGATGAAGATATTGATAACTATAAAATTAGAGTTGATGAGAGCATTTTAAACACTGAAAAGAATAGTAATAATACTAATCATAATAATGATAATACTCATGATGGGATTCATGACAAGATGGTTGATGAAATGACAACACCATATACATCATATGTAGACAATATCAATTCTATTAATAGTAACAATGATAATGATCAGCTACATTGTAAAATCGGTAAAAAAGAAGAAAGTATTGATTATTTCAAGCATGTATCATCATCGTCAAGTTCATCTTCAATTGCATCCGCCGCCTCCTCCTCCTCATCAAATTCCTCTGATGAACAGACTAACAGAATACAACAATTATCATCTTCCCCATCCCCTCTATCAATGTCAGATGAATATGCCAATAAGAATAATGAAGATAATTCAACTGAAGAGAAGATACACTTTAGTACTAGTAGCACTATTGCTATTGATGATAATAAGGAGGACACATGTACACCAACTTCTGATGATTATGATAACCAATCAGAATTAACGATTGATACCACCACTACTACTGTTACTAATGTGGACGGTATTCAGAGTATTTCTATGCCAAGTAATGAAATCCACTTGTCTAATAATAATAATAATATGAAAGAGGAGAATGAGAAACTGGTTGTTATTCATCCACGTGGGGGTGGTGGTGGACGTAAACGTACTCTGAAATCATCAATACATACTGCTAAAATATCTAGAAGTGATCCAACCTCTACCATTACTACTACCATTCCTTCTACTGATATTACTACTAATAGTGGTAACAGTAATACAATTGAAGAGGTGGATACATCCCACCCTGTTCCTGTTCATAATATTCACCCTGTCTCCACATCACCTTTGTCTTCTTCACCTTCAGGGAATACTGATGATGCCTCATATTTTATACCATCTGAGAAATCTGTGCACTTCACAGTGGACAGTAATAGTAGTAATCCGTGTGCGACAGCAAAACCATCAACAACAGCAACGGCGGTGATGACGCCGATGCCGACAACAAGAAATTCAGGGAAAGGAGATAGTATTTTAACTTAGCATTTATTTGTTTATATTGTTATTATTATTAATATTACTAATACTTCATTTATCCTATTTGTATCGATCGATATTACTACTAAAATATTGATTTTTGTGAATTGAGTAGTCGTATACTTCTTGTTTATATATTTGTTTTGTGTTTTGATTGTTACTACTATTAATATTGTTATTATTATTATCACTATTATTAATATTGTAATTGTTATTTTTCCATTTTTAAAATGTCCATTTTTTTATACACACATCACATTATGTAATTCCGAATCGTCTTCATTCATTCCTGAGTTACTTTTCTTATTGCTACCACACACTACTGACCTATGTGTGTGTGTGTATGAGTTTGCGTGGGCTTACTGTTTCATGTGTGCACTTGTGCATGAATATATCCATGTATGTATGTAACTATCTATCTCTTTATCCGAATAACTTGCTCATCTGTGCTCATTGTTTAACTCGAATCCATAATTTAATTGTTGCCTATTTTTTTTGTTGTTATTGATATTTTTATGCGACTACTGTTCGACTTCTTTCTCTCGACCTTGCCCTCGCCCTCATCCTTCTCCTCTTCCTTTTCTCTTTGTTCTGTACTTTTTCAATTTAGTTTACTTCAACTCTTTTCTGTGTGTGTGTGTGTATGATTGGTTTTTCGCCTATTCGTGTCCCTGTTACTATCACTGATGAGTAATTTTGAGAATGTGTTCGTTGTCACTCTTATTGCCTTTTTACAGTGTCATTTTGTTGTTCGTCGAAGAAGAAGGAGGTAACCGTAGTGGTGTATGATGGTGGTGAAGATCATGATGATGATGATGAGGAGGAGGACATTGGGTGCGCCAGTGACAGTAGAAGGAAGCAATTTGATCAACAGGATGGAATGATGCTGACAACAAGAAACAAATTCACTCAAATTCCATGACATCATATGAAAGACGGAATCATATGTATACACACGTATAAAAATACACAGAGAGAGTCGAGTAGCTATGTCAGTTCGTGTTTCTGTTGTCAGCGTTGAAGTATAATAATTACCTCATAACATAAAACATAGACAAACAAATTGAAAACTGATCTTATTGTTGTTAGTGAGTAAAGTTTTATTTCTCCTCCCCCTTTGGGGATTTTTGTTATTATTATTATTACCATTATCGTTTCTTCTTCCATTCTCTCAACACCATCCCTTTTTTTGCGTTTGTAAGAGGAAATAAGATTGGGGTGGGGAGGGGAGAAAGAGCAGTAGTTAGTTACACCGTTGAAAGCCAGCATCAGCATTTTATTACCCGTTCTCTTCTTCTTTGTTCTTCCTTTTGCCCTTCCATCCCTCTCTCACTTTGTTGTGTAAAGCCTCTACACATCGAACTGTAATAATCCGGAGAGAGAAATAGAGAAAAAAAAGCGCCAACCAATTCCATTCATTCCCCCATTCTTTCCACGGCCGCCACAGCCGTCTCCTCCTTTTCGTTGTCTTTATCTTTGTGTGTGTGTTGTACTCAGTGGAATATGCGTATTTTTTGACACCGATCAGAATACTTATTTGTGTTTCTCCACTCGTTTCTTCTTTTCTTTTTTTCTGTGTACCACACCGCGTCTGTGTACATTTGCGTTTTACACACCTACTCACTCACTCACTCATTCATTCACTGACGATTAGGTAATTCTCATGTTTACTGATAATACTCTTAATTTATTTTCTTAATTTTATCCCAATGACACGCTCATAGGTCTTTTTTTAGAAACGATGATAACCAGAAGAATAACGACGCTACATTCCTCCCCCTTTGTTTTTAAATTACACACAGCTTACAATAACTAAACTAATCTCCAACCCCAACTGTGCTCCACACACACACACACAGACATGCAATTGAATCAAGTACAGAAAAAGATTATGGAAGGTGTTTGTGTTTATCACAATGCTGCAATTACATGTGTGCTATGTACTATTATTACACAGTTACCTAATGTGTGTTCGTGTGCGTGTGTGTGCTCGCCTATGGTTTTGTTTTATCATAAATAGTTAACACAAGGAATAAACGATATTTTAAATTGTATCGATATTCGTGCATTTTATCACCGGTGTGTTTTATGCTCTTGTCGTCGTCATGGTGATGCTGTGACGATACTGTGACGACGACGACGATGATGTGTTCGTAACGATTATGAATCTTCTGTTTTTATTACCCCGTCCCCTGTCTCTATCTCTCTCTCTCTCTCGAATTCAATGTGCTCAACACCTTTTTATTTGTATCATTCCTGTTTTATTCCTTTTATTATTATTAATATTAATATTATTATTATTACTATTCGATAATAAAGTTTTTTGTTTTTTATATAATTTTGTCGTCCTGCTTTTTATTGATTAATTTGGTGGAAGTATTGATTAGTTGGGGTTGGGGTGGGGAGGGTGAGTGATCAATATCGATTGATCACAATCAAGTTTTCTATCTATAGGTTAGCTAATCTAAGCGATTCATCCTCTAATTGACTGACTAATGGTTAGGTAGAGTTGGTTGGTGGTAGTAGGTTGAAACAGTGTAATCAAAAATCAGTAGCACTAATAGAGAGAGAGAGAGAGGTGACCAGTAATTGGCGATTGAGCGTCGAGCTGATGACGATGATGATTATAATGTGAATTCCCTAACGTTGTAACTACGTGTCAATTTATATGATTGCTTTCACGGTCAATTTCGTATTTAATCAATATCTGCTAGGAGAGTCAAGTCTAGCGCTGGCTACGGATGACTCTTTTTCCTCCTGAGACGTGAATGTTTAGTACTGGAAATATCCGTAATCATCATATGAGGTGGCGACGGGGGTGGGGGTCGGATACGAAGAAGTTTAGTTTGGTCGTAAACCAATGGATCGGAACCTAATTAGTAGTGACATAGTGATCAAAGTCTTATGAAAAAGAAACAACTATATCTATGATCCTATGAGATATTCGGTGATTTTTTTGTAACAGTTTGATCCCAATCAGTTAGAGAACCATTGAAAACCAGGGAGTACTGGGGGGGGGGTTGCATCGTCCCAGTTCGTGACTCTTCATCAATACGTGCCCATGACCCCACACTGTTAGAGGTCGAACCCAGAACTTTCAGGTTAAAATGCAGCATGACCACCGGGGTCCACCAAGTTGTGTGTGTGTGTGAGGAAGATTACCCACTACTGGCATTGGCTAGCTAAAGTTAGAATTCACGTTGACCAGTGGATTCCGCCCCAGTGTATGAATTGTCTTGTAACCTGAGGGATCTAAGTTCGACTCCTAGCGGTGGGGTGACGATCACATGCTGATGAAGGGTCTTGAATTAGGCAGAAACATCTATCCACCACTCCCTGATTTCCAGTGGTGGTTCTCTCACTGGCGTCCGTCACTTTGTGGTGAAACTTGAAACCAATCAAATTCTTTTCAACCAACACTTGAGAAGAAAGAATCAACAGATGAGATAAGACGAGGCTCCGTCATTAGCGTTTTGAGAGACGAAGGATTTCTACAAGTACAAAAGTTACAACTATATAATAATAATGCGTGTATATATCCTCTACTCTAGAGAACAGTTAGGAAGTCAAACTAGAATAGAAGTCTGGTAGTCCCGAATACGAAGTATTATGTTTCAGGATGGATACTGTTGAACAGAGATGCATACTCACGTAACTAGAGACTGCGCATGAACAGCCGAACATAACACCATGCCAAAACAGCGAGGATACTTAGTCGTCTATCTCCAGCGTAGACATTGAAGGTCAACACCCACTGTTGAATAATGAAAGTCGTAGGCAAATGATTTTGAGGGAATTATTTATCTGATTAAAAATGCCCATTAAAATTTTCAAAAGAATGGATACTCAACAAAGAGTACTCTTTTCGATAACTCCTTCTTCATCAGGCTATACAGTTAAATATACACATTATAGTGAATGAATGAATTAGTGTTATGAACAACATTAATGTTACTTAAATAACATCGAATCAATAATATTGATAGATTACAGCTGAATCGTATCAGCATAAAATCAGCTGAAGATCAGAAGAATTAGGAAAGATAATATTACAAATTCATGAATTTATAGTCTGTCCTAAAGGCTGGCCAGGGCAGTAGTAGGGGCTAGCTGGACTTGCTTCTTTTGCACACAAACTACTGGTTGTTTCACGCGAATTTCGATAGCCTCTGCTGTTTGGAGCATTCGGTGCTTCGATGATTTTGGCGATTTATTAGGTGCCCGGTAGATTATAGAGAAGGATTCTTCCACGCTGGCTTTGTGGCCGGTTTGTACCAGATGGTCCAATGTCGAACTTTTAATGGTTTTAACTTCACTTTTACTTAGCCATACTGGGAGATGTTCTCCAGCGAGCACAAAAAATCAAGTTCCTAGAGCAACGGCCAATATAACACGCCCCACAAGCTCAGATGAATTGGTAGATACAACTTGAAGTGGCTAGTCTAGGTACTTCATCTTTCAGTCGAGGTAGCACCATCCATCGTCGTGTAGACAATAATACGTGTAGTTCGCCAGCATTAAAAGTTCTCTGAACTGATTTCCTCAATTTCTTCGCAATTATTTCACTTGGTATTTCACCCTTGAATTGAAATTATTTATCATTATAGTATATAGAGTCAAACATAGGGGAATATTTGTAGCTTAGCTTTCACTGACTTCCTAGACACAACATTTTCAGGGCTAACTTCAAAATAAACTCAATATTTGGTTATTCTCTGAGTGTAACAGCCATCTCTACTGATGAATCTAAACACGATTGGTTGTCTCTGTGTTATGTACTCGTCGCTGAATTGTTATTATGGACTGGTCGAGAAATTAATAGTCCTGACGCGAGAAGGCGGAAATCAGAAGACCACTAGGTTTGCGATGATACTTCTATTGTCCAAACACAAGGAGACGAAAATAAATGGTCTCACACCAAAGTGGTAAGTAAGTAAAGCAGTTGTAAAGTAAAGAAGTTCACACAAATTGAGAATGCGAATATATATAAATAATTCAGACAAGCGTGGGAAAATCATTAGACAGTCTTAACATGAATGGCTAATTATAATGGAGTGTCGATCCAATTATACATAGCGAATATAGCAGACATGCCAACAAACATATATGGATATATGTCACCAAGCAACGGACTGTCAACAAACACTCATATTATATATAATATAATATAAGGAGAATACACATTATTAAAGGAGACAAGTTCATACAAGTGAAGTGGTCACAGACTAAGAGAGCAAACAGAAAGAGAGACCAACATGCACACACACACATAAATATATATGTGGATACATATCACTCTGGAGCTTTTTTCTTATCCTTCTTCTTCAGTTACATTGGATATTCATCATATAAGTGTTGAGCTGAGTTTTGTCAAACCCGATAAAAAAAGAAGTCAAGTGGACGAAAGGTCAAACCTCAGGTCACCAAAAGAAAATCGATAACAATACAAATAGACGAGGAAATAAGAAAAACATCAGATCCAAACAAGTATATTTCATTTCATCAAAAGAGACATTTGTTAGGCTTATATATAGCGTCTCTTCATTGAGTGGTTTTACTTCTCTGTGACTTTATGGGGCTAATTTTGATGTCAGGTGAAGCGATGGCGTGGTTCGTTGTTCACTAACTAGGCTACAAACCAATTTCGATCAATACACAGTTGAATGGGAAAGAAAATACTTATAATGCATGAAACGAAAAACAAACAAACAAACTGATGACTGCGTTTATGTTCATGGGGAAAATCTTAAAGCGAGCGAGACAGGTAATGGCTTTCAGCATTTCAAGATCAGTCAGTATCTTCTCTCCAAACATAACTTTCCTGTCCTTACGCTGATGAGTTAAAAACTAGGACGAAACAACTGTTCACTCTTCCCCTGGTTTTCAACGACTAACTAACCAATGTATTAATTCTTGGTGAAATCTATACTGAAATGAGTTCGAACTTGATCACACACACACACAATGATGTCAGTTAGAGAACCACTAAAATCCAAGGTGTACTGGATAGCAGCTGTACAGTTCTAGAGTGGGACTCTCTTCAGCAATGCACACTTGCTGGGGGGGGGCGTGGTCGAACCCAGGACTTTCCGATTATAAAACATGGTGGTAAAGCATTCATCCACTGGGACCTGTTACGTTAGTTCGTGAATTCCTACTTAATAATAATAATAATTTGCTTTATTCCAAAAACAGTACTAATGATACAGCAAGGAATTTTCAGCATTCAGTACAATATTGCATCTAATTTACTCAAAAACGACAAAAAAATTAAAAATACACATTACATAACAGTAATAAAACGATTGTTATAGCAGCTATATAGCAAAATACTGTGTGCCATACGGAGAAAAATATGCATAAAGTACAAAATTGTAGTAATAATAGTAATACCAACTAAAATAAAATAGCAGAGTAACAATTAAACGATAGAAAGTGTGACACCATAAAATACAGAAAGATGAACGATGAAAGGGTCCATTTACTGTGCTGATTACATAGTAACTTGTAAGTTTCACGTCTAACAGAGTCTTCGTCACATAAAGTACGGGCCAAATAGGGTATTGTAGAATTTCTATACTTAGTGGCACGAGCATATAACTTTTTATATTGACTTCTCGTCCTACCTGATGAGATACAAGGGGACAGGTGTGAATAAAGGGGATGCAGAGGGTCTGACAGTATAGCCTTTGCCCATTTCGTACAGGAATTTATATGCCTCTCGTGATTTTAACGTAACTACCAGCTGTTGTCATCGACGACCATTTGTCCTCACATTCGACCTGGTCGACCCCACTGGTTACGGGTTCTTATTAGTAGAAGTAAGAATTCATTGGCCGTTGGGTCCAGGTCCGTTTGTCTGGATGGTCCATGAGATCGCCATATAACCGGAAGGTTCTGAGTTTGGCCCACAGTAGAGTGTGCACTGATTAAGAGAGTCCCCATACTAGGACGAAGCAGCTGTCCACTACTCCAGTACTACTTTTTAATGGTTCTCTTACTGACTGACGTCTATTAGCCGTCAAACTGGAATTGAATAATTTTATTTTATTTCTTTTTCCAAAAAAATTAATTAAATTTAGAAATTAATCTAATCGGAAATATTTATAATAAAAAAGGTCATACACATTTGTAATATTTATTATGTTTACTGAGATAAAAATGATTGATTTTTCAAAATTATTCCGTAGTTTATTGGAAATCGGCAGATGAGGTGGAGGAGGTTATTGTCTGGCTGGTTGGTTGGCTGGCTGACTAGGAAAAGAATGATTGATACACTGATTCACCACTGTCTACTTACTTCATCAATAAACACAGTTTATCAATACACTTTCTTTC